CCTATCTCACTGCGTGCTGCCTCTGACAATGAGAAGGCTTCTGAAACAGCCTTTGGTGAACTGCGTTGGTTGACTGCTAGGTAAACCGGAATTCCCGCCACATGTGCCATGCAAATTGCGTCCACATGCGCAAATATCATGTGCCATGTACGTCTACAATGCACGCCACACCAAACTTCATCTATTAACTCATTCAAGGTTCAACAGAATTAAGCGCAGCTGCTGTTACTCGCTGTATTAGAATTTATGGCATACGTCAGCCAGTCATTGACTAGCTGAGCAATAAAAATTCTTATTGGTTCGGGACACGCCGTCTGGTAAAACGTACGGCGTTACCAGTCGAATAAATTTCAGCCCACCTTAGTCGGCGAAAATTTATTTACTTGCATTCTACATGTTGTGTATGATCTCATGCACCATAAGTTATGCGACGAAGTCATAGTTTGTCACACCGGAATGCTGGAATCATTATCTGCGCCACCGAAGTATAGATATCAGTGCATTATGCGTAAAGTCTAACTCATCTCGGAAAACATCACAGGGATTCCAAATAATGGCGCCCTCCGCAAGATTATAACGGTGGTTCCACTTCATCCATCAGAGTCCGAAAAATTTATCAGTTATGGACAATACAAACCACACATAACGTGAATTCTTTGAAAACGCACTACATGTACGGAACCGATATTCACAGATGTGAACAATGAGCTTACAACAGATGAAACCAACATTTCATCCTGATTGGTTTTTCATGCCCAAATTTCCCTAAAATTTTCTATGTTGTTGATTGAGCGGATGAACGCGCTAGCTTGATGGTGGACGGACCTATGTTGGTTGCACAATTTACAATAGGACTTACACGTCGAGGTTAATTGAGAGTAGTATGAGTAAATAAGAGCTCTATCGATGTGGCATATTTAAAATTTTTTGGCGACATTGACGATGTTACGGATAGAACAAACTAAATTGCACGAGAGAAATTTCAGAGGTCGGATACGGAACGATGACGAAATTTCCAAAAGCATCGAAAAATATAAGTAAAAGCGAGTAAGTCAATTACAAACAAGTGTTTAGAAAGCGCTTATTTCATGAATGCAAAGGGTAAAATAAGGAAAAACCAGTATCTCAAATTTATCTTTCTCACCAGGTTATCAAACGGACGGGTACTAACCATAGTCTACAGAAAAACGAATCACGCGAATCAGACTAATCGCTGGCGGAACGGCAATTCTGCATGCGAATTTGTACACTGCAACAGTAAAGGATCCAAGAATGAGGAAGAAATACTTCCATTCAATCTTTCAGAAACAGATCACCGCAACAGTAAAGGATCCAAGAATGAGGAAGAAATACTTCCATTCAATCTTTCCCGGAGAAACAGATACTCCGGTTGAAATTCGCGACAGCTCAGAGAGCCTTACTAAGCTAACAAAAGACCGCGAAGCAGTTTAACCGCATCACACCTCGAATTATTACGAACAAACCTGAAACGACTGCCAGTTTCTCACCGGCATATTATTACGCTGGTATCCGAAGCATGAGGACAGAACTGCATAAATCTTCCTGTCGGTGGATTTTTCAAGGATGTTCCAGCTGGAAATCCCTAAGGTAAGGTGGACGGAAAATGCACTGTCTTCTTGAAAGT